CTGTTTTTCCTAAAAAAGTATTAAGTATGGATAAATTTACAGATTCTACAAATCTTCTCTTGCATGCCAATACAACACACTCCTGATTTTTACAGTAACTGTGAGTTGATGTTATCTTTTATCTTGCCTCTTGCTTGTTAATGATCTGGCAATACTTACAACAATGCATTCTATAATAAGGACTTTGAAATTTGCACACAGCTCCACAAACTGTCAGGCTTGGTCACTCCTCCAAGACTTCTTAGCACTGCAGTCATAGAAATCTATGCCTAACTACTGAAGTAAGAGTTCATGAAAATGTTATGGTGGTGAAGAGGAAAAGGAGGAACAAGCTAACAAGGGTACAACTTCTTTGTTAAGTTTTTTTGAGAATAAGGAATTTTGATGATGGGGAGACTGATGGCTGCCCACTTCAATGCCATCTGGAATCTCTGTACCTCAGAACAAAAAAGTGCAATGTGCATCGTCCCCATCTTGCTGTTGTCAGCACTTCCCCACACAGCACCTTTTGACATGATTTCCTCTTCAAAGGGATTCCCCCTCCCCAACTCACAATGCAAATACTGACAGCAAAAAGGCACTTCATTATTGTGCCATTTAAGCATAAACTTTCTTTAAACAACCTACATTGTGCCAATCTTTTTAAAAAGACAGTAGGGTAATCAAGTTCAGGGCAGCCCTGGACAGCTGCCCTGTGACCTATGCCTGCTGACCCTTGCTATTCATCACTTTCCTTTGGAGAAGGAGGGCAAGCTCCTGGGGAGTGACTGCCACAATAGTCAGACACAAGCCAACAATAATATGGCTCCTGCAAAGAGAAGGGGAAACCCAGATGGCACTGCAATAAATTTACAAATCTGCATTCATGGCTCTGTTTAATACACCCAAAAGCCAAAAGGCTCAAAGATCCCTGGAGAGCTTCCCCCTCATTGGTTTCTGAGGCCTGTCTGTGGGATCTCTCTCTCTCTTTCTCTCTCTCTCTCTCTCTGCTACTAAGTCCCAGCTCCTCAGAAATGGAGATGAATCTCTTAAAATAACAAATGCCGACCTAATCAATCTACCATTCAGATTCAAAGCTAAATGATGGCTACTGAAATCTAATTAGAGGCTTTGGCAAGAAAGCTGTACTGGAAATGGAAACACACAGGTTAAAAAAGCAATGAAGCACAAACAGGATGCAAACTGGGAATCTGATTCAATAATTCACAGATTTACTTTTAAAATGAATCAGATTAGTCCCATGTGTGACCTTCCAGTCCATCTGTATTCACTGGCCTTAATGGGCATTCTTCTCACACCAGCTTCAACTTGAAGTATGAGGCAGATAAATTTAGTTTAATTTTCAAATGATCAAGCTATCCATTTTCCAAATGGACCATCTGGATCAGCCTATTAAAATTAATTTATAACTTAGCAGTGAGAAAATTCGTTGTTAGCTTAAATATTGTTGCCAAAAATTTTGTCACCTCATGATGATTTTCCCAGACTTCATACATTCGTGCATATATCTCCAGGCACCTCCTTCATTTTATTTTTATTTCAAATTCTCCCTCCTCCCTGCATAAGAGCTGCCAATAAGACCTACCTATAGTTCTATAAAACACTTATGTTTTTAAACAATTCTCACTACTCATTTCTTTCAACAAATAGTAGTGGAAAATGGCCAAAATAAAGGCCAAATTGGGAAACTTGTTTATTGTGTACTGAATGGTAATCAAGGCCGTACACCTGTCATACATTCACAATTTAGGGAGGTATGAATTGTAGCCATTATTGGCCCACATACTTACAGTGGAAGATACTGGTGCTGGCCTTCATTAATAACTACAGTGGTGCTTCGCTTAACGTGCGCTTCGTTTAACGACGAATTCGTTTAGCGATGGTTTTTTCGGAGTGATCTTGTGCTCTGTTTAACGATGTTCCCTATGGGCGATTTTCGGATAGTGATGTTTGGGACCATGCTTCGCATAGCATGACAGTTTGAGTCCCCCTGTTTCGCTTAACGATCGTTTTGACAGCCTCGTGTTGACTGTTTTTTATACGGTTAAAATGCTTAAAAATGTTTAGAATTCTTGAAATCATAAGTGCACTTAATAAACCCTGTGTTAAACTAATTCGACTTTGTTCCGATTCTTTTTAAATTTGTTGTAATTTCCACACACACACACAAACACCCCCCTTTTTAAATTTGTTGTAATTTCCACCACCACCCCGAGATGCACTGAATAGGTTTTCAATGCATTTCTATGGGAAACCGTGTTTCGCTTAGCAATGTTTTCCCATAGCGATGAATTTTTTGGAACCAATTAAAATCGTTAAGCGAGGCACCACTGTACAGCGATATATTTTTCTCAAATGATGTTTCTGCTTTAGAAATGCACTGCTGAACTAACTTAAGTACAGTGGTGCCTCACTTAGCGATATTAATTCGTTCCGAAAAAAATGCTGCTAAGAGATTTCATTGCTAAGCAAAACGCGGTTCCCCAATTGAAATGCACTGAAACCTATTCAATGCATCTCAATGGGGGGAAAAATACAACAACAAATTAAAAAAGAGTCAGAACAAAGTCAAATTTGGTTAACAAAGGTTTTATTAAGTGCGCTTTATGATTTCAAACATTTTAAACAGTAAAGTTTAACTTTATAAATAACAGAAAAACATTTTAAAAACAGCAAACATGAGGCTGTTTAAACCATCGTTAAGTGAAACAGGGGATCCAAAATTAAATCGCTATGCGAAGCATGGTTCCAACCATCGCTAAGCAAAAATTGGCCATAGGGACCATCGCTAAACGGAGCACAAAAATGCTCCGAAAAAGTCGTCGCTAAGGGATTTCATCGCTAAACGGAGCGCCCGTTAAGCGAGGTACCACTGTATAAGCAGTTATTAAATGCTATTCGCCATTTGTACAGGACTGGCAGGATTTTGTGGATCACCATGAAAACTGACTTTGATTAGCAGGAAAATATGATAAAGCCTCATTTGCACAATGCTCAAATCTCAGTACAGTGGTGCCTCCCCTACAAAAGGCAACAGAAAGATGGGACCTATTCAACAAATGGACTAAATCAACAGGCAACGTGTAAATAGCATATACTGAAATGTGTGCTTAATCTAAAAGGCAGAAAAGAGAAAACAGAACAATTTAAAACTATGATATGGCATTAAGTTTAGAATGGTTGTTAGCATGTTATGGTCTCTCCTCTTCCCCATAAATTCCTAAGTCCCCTTTTCCTTTTTGTCACCCCTTATGTTAAAAAATAAAATTATTAAAAAAAAAATCTCAGTACAGTGGTGCCTCACATAGCGATGATAATCGGTGCAGCAAAAATCGCTGCAATGCGATTTCGTCACTATGGGATATTAAAAAGACCATAGGAATGCATTGAAACCCGTTCAATGCGTTCCTATGGGCTTCAGACTCACCTTTAAGCGAAAATCCTCCATACGGCAGCATTTTCGCTGCCCAGTAAGCGAGGAATCCGTCCCAGAAAACAGTGGGTGGCCATTTTTTTATCCCACGGCCATTTTGGAACCGCCAATCAGCTGTTAAAAAATCATCGCTTTGTGATGATCGGTAAGCAAAACAGGGTACCGATCATCGCAAAGTGATTTTTCTCCATAGGGAACATCGCAAAGTGATCGCAAAAAGTTAATCACTATGCGATTTCATCGTTAAACGGGGCACCCATTAAGCGAGGCACCACTGTATCCACAAAAGTTGTAGAACAGCCTTTAGCAAACCAGTGGCCCCTCCAAATGTGTTGGACCACAATTCTGATCATCCTCAGCCAGAAAGGTCAGTGTGCAGCTGAGGAATTAGTGTAATATAAATGGAGGGCACAGAGTTGGGAAAAGCCACTGCACAAGCTGTCAGCATGTGAAAAAATAAGCCGGTAAGGACTTCTAGGAGTTCTAGGGTCAATTTACTAATTCAGAAGATAATAGAAAGTATAATTTTTTCAAGATCCATAAAGATTGTCTTTTAATACAGATTTTAAATAGAAATGGGATGCCCTCTCCTTTCTTCTAGGCTGATTTGACTTTTGCTTTATATCTGCTCTCTCTGGAACAGAAAGACATTCCATGCACATCCTAAAAATGGAACTTTTTTTAAAAGAGCAGTATGCTGCTTTCTCCTGTTCATTCCAAGCTCACTGCATCTCAAATAGGCTAGAAGTAAAATTAGGTCACTTTTAGAAAAAGCTCACCCAAGTCACAGTTTTTCCTTCCCCACACACTCTCTCAACTTTCACTTGCACATTACTGATGTTAACTACACTGCTTCACCAAACATCTTATTATGTGAGTAATCAGTAACATAGACACTGAAGGGTACAAGCACAGCATAGCTATAGTTAGCACCAGTTTGCAAATGCACAGAGTTTATCAGAATCAGCTATGAAATAATTTCTCTATTAACTAAAGAGCTCAATTGCACAACTGAGTTTCCTTCTGTTCTTTTCCAAGACTAGTTGGGACCAGGAATATAAGTGAGTATTTGTTCAGTTTGGGTTTATTATGGTTACACAGACAAATTTAGACTGAAGGCCTACCAATATATTAAACTTCTGCTCAATGGTGGTGCAACCTTGCTACTGCCTAAGAGGATCAAGCAGGTTGTGGAAGTCATTAATGTTTGCTAACATATGATGAGGAATCCAATAGAAATGTGACACTGGCAAGAAAAATAACTGCACCATCTGTCCAACCATCACTGGAACATGCAGGATTCACAACAAGGCAGCTCCCATGCAGCTATGCAAAGATATGAGTTTGTCCCATTTTTGTTGCTTCCAATGGGTGCTAAGTAACTTGAAACACTGCATACCTTTTATAGCAAAGCAGGTTTAAACAAGGTGGGGGGAAAGAGAGGAACAGACAGAACCAATGAGATATGGTATTTATATAAGTTGGATTTTTCAAGGTTTAAACACAGGTCAGGGAACTCTACATTAAGAAGCAGGCCAGATCTTGCAGACCTGAATGAAATGCATACCTGCCTGAGTGCATTCTTCTCAGGAATGATCTTCCTCGGGGGCTCATCATTATTACAATCTTCTCTGTCAGAGGAATTCTGTGCAAAAGAGAGGGAGAAAAAGGAAGAAAATATAATACAGGTTTGACACTAATCTGAGAAAGCAGCAAAACAAAATGCTGGAAATTTCAAAAAGAGATGTAAATACGCTTTATTCCTCTTGTTTCTTCTTAAGAGTGGTATTTTTTTCCTAACATGAATTTGGATAGGTAAAGTACATTAAGTGTCTGGGTATATTCAGTACTGTTGAAAGCAGCAAGTCACTGAAAATAGATTCTAGATATAATCCGTTATGACAGTTACTTGATACAAAGCAACTTTCAAAACACCATGAAGTTGGAGACTTTATAGTCCTAGCACGTGACCTGACACTTCTCTATTGCTGGATCTTCATTTTACACTGCTAAATTGGGATGCATGTACAGTGGTGCCTCGCATTACGACATTAATTCGTTCCAGCGAAATCGCTGTAGAACGAAAACGTCGTAATGCAAAATAAAAAAGCCCACAGAAACGCATTAAAACCCGATTAATGTGTTCCTATGGGCTTGAAACTCACCATCCAGTGAAGATCCTCCATAGCGTGGCCATTTTCGCTGCCCGTGCAGTGAGGAATCTGTCCCAGAAAAGAGTGAGGAGCTATTTTTTTTACCCCGCGGCCATTTGAAACCGCCGATCAGCTGGCCGAAAATCGTCGTTTTGCAAGAATCAGTTCCCGAAGCAGGGAACCGATCATCACAAAGCAAAATTCCCCCATTGAAACCACCGTAAAGCGATCACTTTTGTGATCGCTAAAAGTTCGTCATACTGCGATTTCGTCGTTAAATGGAGCGCTCGTCTTGCGAGGCACCACTGTACTACTAACCATAATAGGGTTTGATACATTAGGACAATTGCTTTACATTTTAGACTAATATTGTACCAAGATAGCCATCTCATTGTATAGCAGTTAAATATTTTAAATGTTTAGCTACCAGAAGTAAAATCTCTTTTCTAATAGCAAAAGATAACAATACATGGTTAACAACAACGATGACTAGGACTGCTTTGCCTACTGGAAGAAGATGAAACTGATGAAGGAACCACGGTTTAAAATACGGACACATAGAGAAACAGGATCTACTACTAGTTCAAAATATTCAGTGGGGCTTTAACCAAACAGTCACTGTATTGCACAATAACAATTTCTAAAACACTTCCTATGTGTTACAGTCATTCAACCATGAATCATTTTTTGTAATGTCTATTAGTGTAAATTGCTTAAATTATTTTACCTGCTTGTTCTTGTACTCACTCTGAGACTGTGTTATAACAGGGCAGGATATAAACAATATCCTTAAATACACTTCATAAATAATAATAAAACTGCTAATCATAATGACTATCGTCGTTGATTGTGTGTCGATGTTAAAGTTTGGACAAGACTAACAGTCTACTCTTGGTGTTACAATGATAACATATATATATATAAATTATTAAATACAGAAGTACTATTATCTTCTCTAGTCAGTTCTAAATGAATTCAGGTACTTGTTTAGTTAACATATCCATGGACTCAGTTTAACTTTTAAACATCAAGAAGCTTCTATGAACAACTACCTTCATATTAGGTTTGACAAGTGGTTCATTCATCTAGTACAACTTATTCTGAATGGCATCAGATCATCATGGTTTCAGGCAGAGATCTTTTCCCAGATGTGCTAACTAGGATCTTTCAATTTGAAATGCAAGGAATAGAACAGAAGTACATAATTTGCTCTGTCACTAAGCTTTGAAGCCTTCTGAACAAGACATCATATCAGAGTGGAAATCATATAATCCCCGTATCCACCTCTCTCTACCAACAAGAGTATCTGATTACCCACATGGGTAATTTTAGAACAGATAGCCATGTAAGTCTGTTTCAGTAGGTAGAACAAAAACCTAGTAAAAAATAAAAATAAGTACTGTGTCTCCTTAAAGATTAATATATTTATTTCAGTTTGAGTTTTCATGGATTACAATTTACTTCCCAAGACACAAGGAATGAAATATTTAGCGATAAGTCTATATAGAATATAAACAGGGGCTCTACAGCCCCACAAAGCATACAGTATATAAACATATCACAAAATATTTCATACCATGTGTTTGAGGAAGTAGGTTGTAACCCACAAAAACGTACAATGAAATGTATGTTCTTATTTTTAAGGTCCCAAAATTCTTTTCTTGTAACCCTTCTCTACTTCTCCTATTCAATGAAAAGGGCTTAGATGTGCTCTTCACATAGTCTCCTGTTAGGGCAGTGCATTGAATCAGATCTATGCAACTTCATCAGTAAAATTGCATTGTTGACTTACACAACATTATCTAGCACTTTGTAGTTCCCAACCTTAAGTCCTTATATCTTGCTGAACTACAATTCTTATCATCCTGTCACTGTACATGCTAACTGGAGGTTATGGAAGTTGCAGCCCAAAAACATGTATGGTCATCCAAATGTATCTGAGTACCTGAGATGAGCTGATACCACTTTAAGTAGATATCACAGAGTTATATTTACAGACGTAATGTAGAAATAGGGATTGATTTATATTGTTTGGTACCTTCCCAAATCTTATTTTAAGAGTGCAAAGCATGTACCAAAGGATTTAGAAATATAGAATGGAAACAACTATAAAAATAATAACATTGATTGTGGGAAAACACAAGTTTGAATGGTAGACTAATATACAGACGGCCAAAAGAGAACTTTAAAGCACCATGGCAGTATGACAATATACCCTAATATTTTGACAACAAACACTAGCAGTGGTACTAGGTATCCTGGAAGCTCTTTTAGAGTTCAAGAGGAAGGCAGTAGCTTTGTTAATGAGTGAATAAATGTTTTAGAGATAGGATTTCTACCCAACAGGCTTTTGGACTAATCCAAATGGAGAGAAGGCAAGAGACTCCACGAAGGGAGTGAACAGGAAGGAGTAGACAAAAATACATTACCACTCATTGTATACGTAAGTTTCTAAGAAAGCTTCTGCATTTGAATGACCAAAAACAAAACAAACAATAACAACAAAAACCTTTAATAAATAACACATAGGGAAAAATACTAAATCACAAAAAATAGTGGACATGAGTAAACATAAAGCAAGTAGACACATTATATTTTAGGCTAACAACCAAGTACAGTATAAGAAGTAAAAGCACACTGAAGAGATTTACAGTATCTTTTCAGAGTTCATCACTCTTACTGCTCCTTGGCCTTCATTCGGAGTGAAATGCATCACCCAAAGCCACAGAATTCTATTGCCTTTATGTTGCCTGTCCCAACATGCTTCAAGTTTACCAATTTCTTTCTTGAAACTAAACAGCTAATTTGAAGCATTTGTTTTATTCATTATCTTTATAGGTGGCAAGACTAAGAGGTTGGCTGAACAAAGACCAGACAATGACTGCCAAGTGCATATGGTGGCTCACAGCTTGCTGTCGCCCCATTCTACTGCTCCAACACAGCAGACTATTAAAGAGGAGCGCTGTTCCTGCACTTTTGTCAGCAAGTTAAGTTACGCTTGGCAAATACTGAAAGACTGGAAAACATTATGCTTCTTAAGAAGCAGCAAAGATGCAACCAACTGCTTAGAAACCAAAAGTCTTGCTTTCAGGTAGACAACAACTTTTTGAACATTTCTGAGGAAGAGACAGAAAATTATTCTCAATGGTAAGCCTCTTTTAATAGTCTTAAACAGCTAGCAGATATGCATATGTCTAGGTCAGTAGTGGTGAAACTTTTTGGGCTCCCATGCCCAAATTGGGGGAGGAAAAAACAGGGGGTGGTGGAACAGGAAGTGGAGGCAGCAGAACTGGAAGTGGTGGCAGGAGGGGGAATCCCAGGCATGGAGGTGCATTGAGACGCCACTCTGGATCTGGCGCCAGCACCAGCTGCTCCGGATCCTGATCCTCCGCCAGTCCAGGCACCAGCACTGCGGTTGCAGCCACCTGCTCAGGTTTGGCTGCAGGGGGGAGGGGGGAGTAGCGATCCGGCGACTTATGGCTCGTGTACTGGCAGAAAGGGCTCTGCGTGCCATTGGTTCGCCATCATTGGCCTAGGTACTGCTCCTCACTAACTTGCCCACAGTTCCTACAGTTTTGTGAATGCTTTCTTTAACAAGAGGATGTTCCCTTAAGAATAAAAGTTAGGAACAACCCACTAATATACTGATCAACAGAAGGATACTGTAATGAAATTCAAGAACAGTGACTGTAGTGTTCAGCAGCAAGGAGAAGGTACACATCAAGGAAATGAATACAGCAGATATCCAGGCAACTATTTATTGAGCAAACTTTGTTTATTTTTGCCACTGAATGAAACTGTTCTCCTTTAATGAAAGTCTTTATTAAATAAGAAGAAACAAGTAGGCTTATGTTCTAACACATGCAGTTTCCTTCTCACCACTTCTATAGAATTTGCGAGCAGACCTTGTTGCAAGTTGCAAGCTTGTTAGATCTACTTTTTTACTGAAACCATGAAGTCCACTAAACAGTCAGGTGCAAAATACATAAGTTAATATTTTACTGAGCTTCCATATCCTGTTGAGAATCCTGCTGATCAGTATAGTATAGAGCAGAACGTCACACCAGTGTAGTAACATGAGACTGCACTATTTCTACAAATATTGTTACTGCACAAGCACTGAGACTAGAATCAAAGAATTATAAAGGGGAAAAGACCCCAAGGGTCATTATTTCCAACCTAATGCCAAAGCAGCAAATCCACAGTCAAAGCAACCCAGATACATAGCCATCTAATTTCTGTTTAAAAAATTTCAAGGAAGGCAAGTTTACCACTATTCAAGGCAGTCTATTCCATTGCTAAACAGTTCTTACCATCAAGACGTTCTTCCCAACGTTTAGGCAAATTCTCCTTTTTCAGAATTTGAATCCACTCCTTTGGGACCTACCTTTAAGAGCAGGGGTCTCAAACTCAATTTACCTGGGGGCCGCTGGAGGCAGAGTCTGGCTGAGGCTAGGCCGCATCAGATTTTCCGCCAAGCGGAGCAAGAGCC